ACTCTGAATTTATTTTGAAAAAATCAATATCAGTTTTCCCCTTGCCCATTTCTATATGGAATATTTTCTTTTTTCCTTCTGTCTATTCACAGTAAAAGCTTTAGTGAAAGATAAATAATATGACAACATTTCCAGATTCATCTCCTTGAAAGGAAAGGGATTTTTCACATTGGCTCATTAAATTGAGATATTCTGTCCTGAACAAAATCTCAAACTGTACTGAAAGCAGATGCTAGCTAAAATTCAAAAAAGGTAAAAATAGAAATATTTTAGTGCACCTGCACATAGAACACATTCTTGGCACTTAATAATTAAATCATAATTCTAATTCTATAAAATACCCTTAAAATCCTTATTTCCAATAGGAATAGACTAATTCCTTACATTTATTTGGTATTTGGCAAATTTGAGTTCATGTAGATTCATTTCTTAACTCTTCATCAATGCATTTTTAGTTTCTACAGAATAACTTTGTCTGTGGCTAAGGCTGCCCCATGGAAAATAGTTCTAATTAAACAGAGAGAAGAAGGAAACACAAATAAAAACATTCTTTAAAATACATTTACAAACTAATGCAAAAAGAAAGACACAGTTGTTGTATACTCTCCCTTCCCTTTGTTTTCTCAGTCTTCAGTATGATTTGCTTCCTGAAACTATAGGAACATGCTTACAAAAGTATGGGAACCACAGTAAATAGAATACTAGAAATATTATAATAGAAATATCCATGTACTGGCTTTGTGGGAACCTAGTCTGTTTGGATCCTCACCTTCCTAGACCTGGATGGAGGTGGGGAGGTCCTTGGACTTACCACAGGGCAGGGAACCCTGACTTCTCTTTGGACTGGAGAGGGAGGGAGGAGGGAGAATGGGGGAGGGGGAGGGAATAGGAGGAGGGGAGGAGGTGAATATTTGTAATAATAATAAAATTTAAAAAGTAATTATTAAATATGGCTTACATAAGCACTAGATGTTAAAATATAACTTATTCACAGCCTTTCAGTTCCAACCCTCATCTGAGAAAACCCATGATGTCAAATGGGATATAATCAGGAAGTTAATGGCAAAGGTCAAATAAATATGCTTTTAAAAGAAAAAAAAACAAACTTCATTGTTGAGCACCAAAACTGTTTGAGATGTTATGCTATTGTGAGGAAAAATAGACCTTAATTTGTTCCACAATTAGTCTGATATTCCTGCTGCTTGTCAAAAATTTTTTAGACAATGGAACTGCACCACCATAATTTGATAAATGAAAAGTGAACTTGAATGCATAATTAATAAAGTAATCATGAATGTAAAATATGAATGATTATTAAATTAAATGTCATATACTTAAATATGTTAGTATACTAAATTATATTAAAAGAAATTGTGAAAGAAGTGTTAAGGGAAAGTGAAAATTGAATTTTAAAAATTGTTACAGGTATCAATGTGGTGACACACGCTTTAATAGTAGCATTCAACATTTAAAGATAGGTGGTGCATCAGGAACTTGATATCACCTTTGGTTATAGGTGAATTCTATACCACTTCTATTAATCTGTCCATAAATAAATAAATGCTATGAAAATTAGATAAATACCTCAGTACTTTTGAAAATGTGTATTATCAATTTACTCAGTTTACTATAACCTCTGATAATTTCAATTATCATAAAAACATCTTACAGAAGTAGCAATTTTATTAATGCTGGTACATATCATCTATATTTAATGTTCTTGTGTCAATGACAGGTAGAACTACTACCTACTACTCTGTCAATTATATACCTATGTGCTATATTCTTCTGTTGCTATTAGATATAGCATATCAGTATGGCGTCTTTCGGATGTTTCATGGTTTATATTACATAAGCTTTTCTATGTGGGATTTCTTGTTTGTGGACTGCTCATGATGTGTACTAACCATTTTTAATCATTATTACATAGCATCTAAGAGGCATACAATTATTTTAACATTTTCACTTTACATGTTAAATCTAAATTATATTTAAATTCAAAAAAGAAAATTCATAGTTCTAAGTAGTGTTTTTATTTACAATTGTATAATTAATCAAAAAATTTTACTACACTAACTTTGAAAATTATAACTTCTTCCTTTTGATGTGATAGTGGGGCACATTCCATAGATAACTGTTTTAATGTGAAACAAATCAATTATTTCTGAACTAACTCTACAGTATAAATTTATTTCATTTTGTGTTGCCAATATTTTATGTATTGTTTTATATTTATTTCATCTGAGATACACATAAAATTTCCTTTTAGCCCACAGCTATGGCTAAAATTTATAAATAAAATGTTTTTAGACTCATTAAATGAGCTAAGAATTTCACTTTCTTTTGCCATTAATTAGAATACTAGTTTATGTAATTCTTAAATTATTGATTTTGTAAATTTTGCTAGAATGATCAGTGACATTTTTACACCTATGGCTTTCAATAATTCACTGCTAATGCTTTAATAATGATTAGATTATTCAGTTTTAAATTCTTTCTGATAATTTTTGGTAATTTATATTTTCTAAGAATTTCTGGTTTATCTCAAGTTTCAATATAGTGCTACAAATTTATGACAGTCTTTTATTATTTTGTTAATATATCATATAAGTATGAAAATTTTCTCCATTTCATTCCTAGTGGGCTTGGGCAGTGGTCTACTGAATTACTAAAATATACTGAAATTTTAGGATACTTCTAAATACACAGAGAAAATGCAAATATAGTACAGAGAGTACCTTTATATCTTAAATTCAGTTTTCTAAAATATACATACTATATTATTTTAATATTTGTAAATCAATATACCAATATTTATTATAATTGACTAAAATCCATACTTGATTCAGCCTTTGCTATATTTCACATGTTCCCTTTCTATTCTAGGATTTGTTTCAAATACCAAATTACATTCAGGTGTCATGCTACCATAGGACAGAGCAGACAATCACAGTTTATAATATATAGTTCTTGTATTTATTAATAACATTATAAAATATTAGTCACAGATTTTATACAATGTATATTCAAATTTGTCTAATATTTTTCTCCCAATCATTATCATGGGCTCATGGTAAGCACTGAAGAATGACTTATACAAATTTTGATAACGACATTGATTTTGTGGTTAGGGTAAGGCTTGTCATGTTTCTCCATCATATATTTAATCTAAATAATCTTTTTATAACTTTTGCCCTGGAATAAAATGTCACTACATCTGGCATGGTTAGGATTCACATATCACTAAGGAATGGGGGATTATGTTGTACTTCATACTGGGAAAAATAGCTACATCAACTTTTCAGATTTCAGATATACAGAAGTTATTTGTGGTTTTTTTTCTTATATTTAAAGCATTTAAGTTATATATGTGGAGACATGAATACTGATTTTAAAACTGGTTGTAATCTCATACAATTTTGCTTTATTCCTCAAACCACTACAGTTTTTATCATTAGGATTTCTGTCTATTGGTCCCTGTGGCTCCCAATATTTTCTCATAATTACATGTATGTAGTTTTCTTTTCTTTTGTTTCCTTTTTGGGGGGGTTTGTTGTTGTTGTTGTTGTTGGTTTGTTTGTTTTTTATTAAGAAAAACTGGTGTCCATAGACACCATAATCATGGAAACTTATAAAGAAGGGATTTAGTTGGGGCATTACTTACAGCTTCAGAGGATTAATCCATTATCACCGTGGTAGGAGCATGGCAGTAGGCTAAGGGACATTGCATAGAAGCAGAAATTGCGAGCTCATGTCTGACCAAAAACTGCAGACCTGGAGAGAGTAATGGGTCTGGTGTGGGCATTTGAGTCCTCAAAGCACATTCTCTGTGAAACATCTTTTCAAATAGAGTCATATATTATATTGCTCATTTATTATACTCTTAGCTCTTTCACTCTTTTGGGGGCCTGCCATCTACCTTTCAAATAAATACACACGGAGACTTATTACAAAATCCCAGCCTTAGCTTGGCTTATTTCTTGCCAGCTTTTCTTAACACAAATTATCCCAACTGCCTCTTGGCCTTTTCATTTTCTCTCTTCTGTTTATCATACTTTTATTCTTACTCCATGGCTGGCTTTGTGGTTGGATGAGTGGCCGCTGACATCCTCCTCCTTTTGTTCTCTTGCTTCTTTCTTTCCTTCCAGATTTCTCCTTCTATTTATACCCAATGCCTGTCAGCCCCACCTATCTTTTCTCCTGCCTTGCTGTTGGTAATTCATTCTGCTCTTTATTAAATTATTATATATTTTAGACAGGTAAAGAATCACAACCTTACAGAATTAAACAAATGCAAAAAATAACCCAAAAGCAACACAACTTTACATTGTTGAACAAATGTTCCACAGTATAAACAATCACAACATACTGTATTAAAATAATATACTACAACACTTCTCAAACAGCCCACTCCCTGATTATTATGCATTTAAATATAAGAGTCTGTAAAAGTGTCATTCTCTTTCAAAACAACAAAAGTCCTGAAAATAAAACTTGGAAGATAACTGTTGAAAGTTCTGACAATCCTAACCAAGGAAATCAACACAGGTAAATGGTTGCAACAACAACAACAACAAAAAAAAAATAGTGATAGAAACCTAGGAACCTTCAAGTAGATTTGGAAATGGATGTGAAGTTAAGTGATTCGATTTTAGAAGTATACAACAGATTGATTATTTTTATAATACTGTTGAGAAAGAGGAAAGGTCAAATTGACATTAGCATTTCAGTTTTGGTTAAGAAATATCAATTTTAATTTTCTTTCAATTTATCTGTCATTTACTAGGTAACTCTGATAACTGAGGGCTTAATGTAAGTTGGGTCTTTTGCATTAAAATAATAACTAGTCATATTCTTCATATAATCTTAAATAGTGCTTGGTCAACTTAGAAAAAGTTGAAACAGAATTATCACAAAACAGCATGCATCTGAATGATACGTCTTAATTTGTTTTGAAATATAAATGTATATAATTTATTTTTTTTGAAGGTATCAAGAAAGCCTTTTAATGAATCTATTTTACAAATGCACCGGAGAGTCACGCAATGCTGCCTGCATTCGATGCAATCCTGGGCCACAAGTCTGCACACTCCTTTGCAACTGGACCCGTGATAGCAGAACCTTTCATCTCGCCTTTATTGTTTACTATGACCCCTGCGTTGTCTTCAAAATAGAGAAACACCCAATCTTTTCTTCGATATGACTTTCGTTGTTGAATTACAACGGCTGGATGGACCTTTTTTCTCAGCTCTGGTTTGCCTTTCTTAACCGTGGCCATCACCATGTCGCCCACACCAGCAGCAGGAAGTCTGTTCAGTCGTCCCTTGATTCCCTTCACAGAGATGATATACAAATTTTTGGCTCCTGTATTGTCAGCACAGTTGATCACAGCTCCTACCGGAAGACCCAGGGATATCCGGAATTTATTTTTATTGAAATCATGGCCTAGAATGTTATTCGAGTAACTCCCATTTGAAGAGAGCTATAGCACACAGAAAATTTATATATTCTAAAGTTGAACAAAACTGCAACGAAACTTGCAAAGCAATTTTAAAATAGACTCCTTTCAAGTATTGTTGGATTTTTTAATGAGTTTTTCTTAAGTTTTTAAGGTTGTTTCTCACAGTTAATTTAGAACTGTTTCATAAAGAAACTTCTTGAGAATCTTTCCCAGTCAAAAAAGTGATTTTTTTTTTTTACAAAAACATGTCTTCCTTTACTCTTAGTTCCTGAGGTTAATGGAATAACTAATTAAATTTAGTAATGCAATTCCAAGTACAAATGTTATTTTTGTTGGGCAGGTTGGGAAGGAGCAAAACTCTCCAAAACTTCCACTGCTTAAATCAGAACTGAAGCTCAAAGAGTATGAAATCTCAACCAAGAGTAATTTCCTTGCTTTGTGTATCATTTACTACATTTTTACAGATGAATTGAGAATGTAGATTACTTGTTTATGGTATTTATGTGTTCTCTTAATATAATTTTCAACCTTTAAGATACCATCAGATGGATAAGAAAGATTAAATTAAATATAAGATTATTTTTAGTAAGAAGGTGTTGGATATCTGTTTGAAGGTTAGGGATAACTGGTGAAATGGAACAGAAGAAATAAAATTATAAATATACATTTCTACCTTTATTTTTCCATTTACATTCCACTATCCAATTCCCTAGCAAATTACCCTTCATTTCCATAACAAATATTTGATCTCTTTGTGAAAAAATAATAGAAATTTCAAAACATCTATTTCTTTGACCAATGGAATTAAATTCAAGAATCGGATAAATTCACACATATGTGGACAGCTGATGTTTCATAAATAAGCTAGAAATACACACTGGAAAAAAACATCATCTTCTACACATGATCCTGGTTAAAGTGGATGTCTACATATAGAAAAAATGCGAATACATCCATTCTTATCACCCTGTAAAAAAACTCAAGTTCAAGTGGGTCAAAGACATTGACATAAAACCGGACACTGAACCTGACAGAAGAGAATGTGGGGAATAATCTTGAACACACTGGCATAGCAGACCAACCAAATAGGACCTCATGAAATTGAAAAGCTTCAGCAAGGCAAAGGAAACCATCAACTGTACAAAACAGCAGCTTACAGAAAGGGAAAATATTTTTGCAAATTTTAGGAATAATACCCAAAATATATAAAGAACTCATAAAACTGTGTATCAAAAACAAATAACTCAATTTTTAAAATAGGGTATAGTTCTAAACAAAATTATCAAGACAGGAATTGCAATGACTGAGGCTCACACACCATTCTGGATAATGGATAATATTAGATGGAAGGAAAATTAAGAATAGAAAAGGGTGTTGCTTTAGAAATATTGGCCTGGTGCTTTTATGTGTTGTCTATTTAACTTAGGAAAGACTAGTCATGTTGATTAATTGGAAGACCATTACAAAAGCCAAGACATAAAATGTTGAGTCTAAATTGGAGGGAAAGCAGAGGAAATGAAGAAGACAGCTAAATATAAGAAATTGAAGAAAAAAATTGATGAGCCCCAGGGACAACTTCATAATGGGTCCTTTTGAGCTTTCATAGATACTGGCCCCATCCTTGCTTTTCCAGTTCAATCAAAAGCACAATGTATTCAGTTTCATAGTATTATACTTACATATCAGTCACTTTAGTCCTGTTTTGTTTTGTTTTGTTTTGTTTTGTACTCTGGCCACTAACTGTTTCTCATAGTTTCAAATACAGCACTCAGCTAACTGATAGAAACAGGTGCTATTCCTCATGTCGTGCCTTCTTTAGACATAAATACAATCAATGTTAATTTCCTAAGAATTAAGCTTAACATATACCAAGTATGATTTTAGCCAAAATAATGTACTCTAGCTTCTAAGGGATTTATTTTATGCCACATGAAAAATTAAAAAAAAAAAACATTTAATACTTTAAAAAAAGAAATGTTTAACATCCTTAGCCACTAGGGAAAAGCAAATGAAAACTACTTTGAGATTCCATCTTAAAACTGTCATTATGGCTAAGATCAATAACACAAGAGCAACTCGTGCTGGTGAGGATGTGGGGCAAGGGGAACACTCCTTTTGCATTGCTGGTGAGACTGAAAACTTGTGCAGCAACTGTGGTAATCAAAGAGCCAGTTTCTCAGAATGTTGGAAACCAGTTTACCTCAAAACTCAGCTTTACTACTTTTGGGGATATACCCATTTTCCATAGGCCCTTCAGGAGTGCTGCTATAAGGAGGTGTGCCCTTGTTGGAAGAGGTTTGTCACTAAGGGCTGGGCTTTGAGACCTCAGAAGCTGATCCAGTATACCACTTTCACATCTCGACTAACCCATTACTAATAATCTGTATAGCACCACGAAGTGCTGGCTTACCAGAAAGGATTCTAGTATATGTCCATCTTGGGCCATAGCTTCATTGCATCTGCCACAGAGAGGAGAGGCAAGGCGATTGCCTCATTTCCTCCCAGCATTCTGTTCTGTTTTCCCCACCTACTTATGTTCTGACCTATCATGCCAAGCAGTTTTCTTTATTAATCAACCAATGAAACAACAGATAAAGACTTTTCTACATCATTTCCCCTTTGTCTGTTTAAACAAAAAAGAAGGCTTTAACTTTAACATAGAAAAATTACATATAACAAAACAGTTATCAAGCAATAATTACAGTTACAATATCTACTTTATCTTTTATCATAAGTAAAACTAAAACTATGACTATCCATTCTTCAACACCCTCAAAGACTCCAGAATAATATAATATTACCTAATTAAACAAGAAATAAGCAACTTTCAAAACTCTAGAAATGACTGAGAAAACTCGAAGCCTGGACAGTCACCCTAAGTTCCTCTGTACCGTTGGGGCATCTATCTTTGGCCTTCAGGCCCATAGTATCCAGAGACATTTCCATGAAGCAGGAAATTTCAAAGGCAGTCACTATCTGCTGTGTCCTGCAGAATGTTTGGCAGACTCTTTCATAAGTCAGGAACCCCAAAGAATCATCTCACCTTTAAGCAAGTTCAGCAGTCCTCTTTCTGTGGGTTCTTTGTGTCCAGTTTATATACCAGTCTAGGCAAGAGCAGTTTCTTGCTCGAATGGCTATCAAACTTCATAAGGAGCCTCTTTGATGCACATCTTCCTCTCTAAGTAGATTGGTGTTGCCAGGAGCAGATGTGTCTCATTGTTATGAAAAATCTGTAAGTTATTAAAACATTTAAAATGCCATATTATGTAGTCTTTGAAAGATATGAAGAATGCCTATCTGAAATATATCTAAGCACACCTAGAAAGTCTAACTAACATGACTACAAACTTGACTATTATAGATGATTATCTATTAACAATCTATATACATTTTTACATGAACTACACAATCACAATGCCTTAGTCAAGGTCAGAAATACATATACATATAATAAGATTGACCTTAAATTTATATCAATAAAGTCAAATCCATACCAATGCAAATTATTCATATCTATATCATACCCCCTTTAAATGTAAAAGAACATTTTAAACAATATTTGGGAATATGGATGCAGTTATTTCTCTCCAAACTGCTTCGTGCTGAATGGGGGTGCTGTTGTTTAGCTCTTTCACGGCACAACCTGCTGCTAGGTTCATCCCAGTCAGCAGTTGAGTGAAGTAATTTTTTGAGGGTGTTCACAGCAATCTTCCAGGAGGGTGTGGTTTATCATACCATATTGGGATAGAAGCAATCCACAGGGTCTCGTCCTCTGTGAAAACAAAAGAAGCAACTTCTTTCCAAAGTATCATATCCTTAGATCCAAATTCTGAAGTCAAGGTATTTTCAAAATATCTGTCTTGGATTAGTTCAGCAGCATTTATAAACAAATATCTTTTAGCAGCTGTTGCCCCTTCCTCAGCATTCAAACAACTCAAAGAGAGCATAATAGCATACAGTATCAAAGTTCTCTGTGTATTTAACATCTTTGTGTGGCTTTATTTTAACCTCTATTTCTTTTCTTTTTACTTTTACTTTTTGAGACAGGTTCTCTGTATATCTTTGTCCTGGAATAACTCTGTAGATCAGGCTGTCCTTGAACTCACAGAGATCCATCCATCTCTGCCTCCTCAAAGCTGGGATTAAAGGTGTGTGCTTCCACAGCTTGAACTCACAGAGATCTGTCTGTCTCTGCCTCCCAGGCATTGGGATTGAAGGCATGTGCTACCACACGTTGAAGTCACAGAGGTCAATCTACCTCTGCCTCCCACGTGTTGGGATTAAAGGTGTGTACTACCACACCCAACTACTCTCTTTCTTTCCTTTTTTGTTTGTTTTTAACTTTAAGAACTTTAACTTTTAGCCTGCATATATATTTTAACACACTGCAAACCATTTAGAAGTTTTCTTTGTCTTTGAATCTTTCTTTTTCTGACCACACAAGTCTTTAATTTACCAAGCAATATAGGTAGGATTAAAGCCATGGCTTTGACAGCTGGATCCAGCCCATTCCTTAGCTTTCCAGGGTCATGGTGGAGGTACCAGCTCTAGCCATTTTTATTGCCAGAACTCTGTGGCATTTCAAGGTCCTTGCCAACAAGCAAGCTGCAGCATTCTGCTCACAGATCACACTCATTCAGACTGCCTGCATGAGTCAGAGTTTGCCCTGGCCCACAAATCCAGCATTTTAAAACAGCACAACTTTTTTCCTGCTACAGCTGAAAACAAACAAACATGCAGTCAGCTTTTATCAGCTCCATTTTAATGTTTTGTAGCAGGACCTCTTAAAAGCTGCAGGGTTTTGTAGCTAAAGCTGAGTTAGGAAGCCTCTCTTAGATGAGAGGCAAGCAGAGCAGACCCAAGAAATTGCTGCTACCAAGAAAAAATGCTTTACTCTATTCTTTCCCATACATTCTCAGGCTTTCTGTGGATTTAGTCATCCACGTCTGGGTGCCATTCTGTAAAAGGAGCAGAGGGCTGCATTCCTGTAGCCTGGCTCCTGGCCGCCAGGCTAGCTTATG